GTTTATGATAGGTTAATCCTCTATTTTCATATAATTTATTTAGTTGTTTGTATTATGTTGCTTGTCTTGCTTTGCTAGAGGACATATGTTATTAGTATGAAGAGATGAGGAAAATGAGCATTTATACAAATTGGGATCTGAGTGTATGCGTAATACAGAATTATATGGAGTGATGACTTTGTGTCCTAGAGGTTTGTCCTTTGAATTGATGCTTGGGAAGGATGAAAGTTTCATTTTTCAGAAGATGTGAAAATATCTTTCATATTCGATTTGTGACTAGTAGCGAGAAAGCCAAATGAGTTTGCAAAATTTTGTGATAAATCACTGTGTAAAATGAGAAGAGATCTGTAAGGATTTGGATTTGGATAATGAAGTGTTGAGAAAGATGATAAGAGCATGTGGTATAAGATCACAGAGAAGATGTTTGATTGAGAAGATGTTAGGAGCTGGAGTAAAAGCTGGTGATAGTTGAGGTAGCTGATTATTGATAAATTGTTGGTATTGTGATGATATGATAGAGAAGGAAGGGTGAGAGCTAGGTGAAATAGATAGATAGATTAGCGATGCTAGCTTGTGTGAGATTGAGAAGAGAAGAGAATAAAGGGGTTTGGAAGTGTGATAACACTCCCATATGTGATTAATTATTTCAGGTGAGGATTGACATCTTGTGCATTGATCATTAGAATAGATGTGAGGTTTGCGTTGAGAGAGAAAATCTAAAGTAGACAAGGCAGAGATGAGTGTTTTAATCATGAAAATTTGGTTTGGGATATGCGTGAAATGTTCTTTGTCTGTGAATTTCCATGCTCTGTGAGTGGTATTCCAGTCAGTGAGATGTATTATTGATTGGGAAAGAACTTTTTGTATGAATAGGGAGTTTTGCCAGATGAGAATAGTTTTACTGGTATGAAAGTATTTGATGAAGTACTGTAAATTAGAATTGATAAGTGTAGAGTTATTAAAGATTGGAGAGTATGTGGTGAGAGATAAGTTATGTATCTTGGTTGATATAGGTGGTTGTGAGCATTCTTTATTTGCGAGATTATCTGCGAGATCATTGCCAGGGCTATTGAAGTGTCCCTTTACTTTTGTGAGTATGATTGATAAATTTTTTTGGATGATGTTGTGGGTAAGAATTTCTCAAAGATGTCAATATGGTTGTTGATATAGTTTGCATTAGGAGTAGTTATTTCTGTTGATTATATTTTTGTTAAAGCCTTGTATAGCTGCTTAACTATCAGTGAAGATATTAATGTGACTGTTGATGGGGATGTATTCAGTAACAGAACAAATAGCTAGAGTTTCAGCTTTAATAGTTGATAATAACTTGAAAATGGAGAAGATAGCAAAAATTTGTTAGAGCTATGTAGTCCATGCTGCACCAGCTTTGATTATGATCATGAATGAGTTATATATAGAACCATCAGTGTAGATTGTGATTGGAGATGAGTAGCTTTGTAATTGTTGAAGGGTCTGCTGCTATTTCATAGCAGAGGAATTAGAGTCATTGAAATGAGAAAGTACTGAGATGAGAGGAGGAGAGTCAGGTAAGATTGGGATTATGAAGGAAATAATGTGAGAGTTTTGATCTTTGAGTACTGATTATTCAAGGAAAGAGAACCAGTGTGGTTTAACACTATGTGCTGTTTTGCAAAATCATTTTTTGTATTGATGCCATGTTATGAGCTGAGAGCCATTGTATTTAATGAGTTATTTAAGAAATATGATTTTATCTTTTCTTAGAGTTACATGATATTTGGTGTAAATAGGCTATGTGTGAGAATATTATGGAGAAAAAAGTCATTGTTCAGTGATTAGAGAATTTGGAATATTATTTTATCTGAAGAGATGAAACTAATGTGAAATTCTGCCATTAGTGAGAGAATATTGGCGATAAGATTTTTTCTGGGTGGAGAATGTTTATGGATAGGAAAGGATAAGATTGGATGTGATAGCCATCTGGATTCTTGTAAATCCCATAATCTGATTTGGGTGATAAGTCCAAGGAGATTAGGATCATTGAGATAGTACATTAATTCACTAATTTTATGATGTATTTGTAGCTCTCAGAGATTAGTGAGATTAAAATAATGTTTGTGATATAGGTAAGAGTCTGGAATGTCCTGTACTAGACCAGCTTTGGCTTTGAGTAATTTTTTGCATTGATACATAACAGAAGAGCAGAAAGTCTTTGAGAGGATTATTAATTGTGATTTATATTCGATTGCTGGAAAAAGTACACTATTTATGAGATAAGTAATCTGTTGATGGTTGATCTTTTTCCTATTGAGAATTTGGACTACGTTATTTATGTCTTGCTTGATGGTATGTTATTATTTGAGGAACTTTTCATCTTCACTTATCCAGAGACTCAGGTATTTTGTACTTTCAGAGGATTGAAGAATGCGTAGTAATACGTGGTTGAGATCCAAGTAGAGAAGAGATTGTGGATTGTTTGAGTCTGGATTGATGGTGATTATTTTAGATTTGGAGATATTTATGTCAATGTCATACATGTTATAGAACTGATTAGCTAAGTTGAGAATACTTTGCATACTTGAGGATGAGTTTGCTAGCCATATGGTATCATCCACAAAGGCATCATGATTGAATTTGTATGAGATAGTTGATTTGGTGTGAGGGTGGAGTGAGGAAGTCCATGAGCTAGATATTGTATAGTCATCATGTTGGTGATGGGTATTAATATAACATAAGAGTGGATCATAAAAAATATGCCATAGGATAGGAGCATTGACTTCTTCCTGGTCAAGCCCATCCAAGACTGAGTATTGTTCTGTATTGCTGAAGGCTGTTATTACTTGGTTATATCAAGAATTATGAATGTTATCTAGAAGTTATATGTATTTTGAGTGCATTTTAATACGTGAGAGAGCTTTAGAAAGAATATTCTAGCTAACTGAGTCATAAACTCATTTCATATCCTAAAAAGTATACCAAAGTTCTTTCTTATAAGTATGAGCATCTTCAAATAGACTGTTGAGTATGTGAATGGGAGCAGTAATACTGGTGTTTGATAGTATTGATGAGTTAAAGCCATGAAAAATATTGAGATTTTTACAGATTAAGGAGATGCGGTTTGTTAATATTCTTGAAAATAATTTTCTGGTATTACTGATGAGAGTTATTGGTCGAGTAAGATCCAAATTGCCTTCCCAGTCTTGTGGTTTGGGAATTAGTGTGATGAGAGCATTCTTTCATTCAGTTGGAGTGTCAGATTGATTGAGATAAGAGTTGAAAAGCTGTATAAGAGTGGTATGAATAGAGGAGTCACATTTTTTGAGAAGAATATTGTGGAGATCATCTGGACCAGGAGCTTTAAAGAGAGATGTTTTAGAGAGTGCTACGTGAAACTCAGATAGAGATATGGGATCACATATTGAAGAAAATACTAAGTCAGAAATGTGTGCTTGAGGATTGTATTATGCTTGCCATTACAAGTTAGGAAAGTGAGTGGTATTATGATTGCATGTCCATTGATAAAAGTGAAATTAGACAGTATTTTTTACTTCTATAAGGTAATCTATGAACTTGTTATCTTGATAGACTTTGGTAATTGAGATCTTATGAAAGTCTCTTTCTAGTGAATTATGTATCATTATACCTGGATTATTATAAAGAGCTTGCTGATTTTTTTTAATGTTGGCAGTAATAGTGATAGATTTATGCTTTTTAGCTTCTAGTGATTTCTTTACTGATAAGGTTTTTCTAAGGAGAATGATTTTTTGTATTCACTCTGGATCTTGATTATTGTCTGAAAGAGAGAGAGATGAAGGATCTATGTTGTTGTATTTATGAATGAGAGCTTGGACTGTATTGTTGACTTCATTGGGATTATTGGAATGTGAGTGAAAATAAATTATGGCATTGAGTATAGAAACTTGTTTTTGGGTTATACTGATTACTTTGGAAATATGATTATTCATATTAATATTAATTTTTTTGAGAGTTGCATTTACTGCTTGTATGAATGATTTCTTTATATGAATCCATTGTGAGTTCAATGATGCTGATGAAGTGTGATGTTGATTAAAAAACTCAGCTGAAAGTACTTGATATTCTGCCTATTTTTGGTTTATTACATTTTTGACTTTGTATGCGTATCTTTTACATTTATATCTTTTGATAATATGTTATGGTATCCTGTGTAGAAGAGTATCAGTTGAGATGTCATTAACTACTAGTGAATGATCTGTTTCGATCTATGATTGGTTTATTATTGATGAATTAATAAGATGATTAGCAAGAGATGGTGAAAACTATATTATGTCTAAGCGCCAGTGTGTTTTTTGCCAAGACCATGTGTGATTTAGCAGATCAGGATATTTGAGATGAAATCCATCATCAAGTCCTTTAAAGAGAAGTAGGTTCGTTAGACTATGAGCTGGTAGTTAAAAGTAGTGTTCATTTAGATCTTCTCCTAGAATAAAATGTTCTTCGTGTGATGTGATATTATTTATGTATTGCATTAGTTTGTATTTGATTTTGTGTTCTTGTCCAAAATTAACTGCTGGTAAATAGCATCCTATTATGTTAAGATTGAATAAGTGGCTAAAAGCTAGTTTTAGATGAATCAAGTATTCTTCTATTTTGGTGGTTTTTTGTATGTGATTATGTTATTGAGTATGAATAAGTATACTGATGCCTGATCTGAAGGAATGATCATTATTGCAAGCCCATATGTGTGAAAAATTAGGTAGATTTTTGAAGTAGTGTTTGGCTGAGTGTGTTTTGAGTTTGGTTTCTGTTAGGATAATGATGTCAATTTGATGAAACTGTGTGAGGGATAGTAGTTCTTCTGTTTTTTTGTAAGAATTAAGATCTTGACAGTTTAGAGTAGCTATTCTAAGTGTGTAAGATTGTTTGTTACCAATATTTTTGTCATTAGTTGTGATATAGGTGAGGTTTTGTATGATTAGTAGTGAGTGAGTAATTTGGTTAAGAGTTGCATCATTATGATTATTTGTAAATTTTGATATGATATGTGTGTTATAATTTTTTTTTGTTGAGTTGTTAGATATTCTAAGTATTTTGATGTTCTAATATGTTTAACTTTTCTAGTATTACTTGTTATTGGGATTGGAGTTATTATTGTTGAGATTGAAGTTACTGATTGAGTAATGATAATTCTGAGATTTGGTATTTTTGATTCAAGATGATTGTATTTAGTTGATCAATTAATTGTGAATGTTGAGGTAGGAGAGATGGTAAGTTAGTTGTTGCAGTGTTACTATTATTGTTTAGAAGTGGTAGTTTATCTAGTATTAGATTAAGTTTATTTTCAATAGAGTCAAATTTTTTTTGAAGTGAGTTAAGTTGACTAGATAGTTGGTCTATGTCTAATCAAAGCTTGATAAGTGTAATTGTCTGGTCATAGCTGTCATTAATTTCTTTTGGTGACTGATTAGATTGATTGTGATTGATATCACGTGTGTGTGGTATGCTTATATTGAAGTTTGGGATCTGAGTTAAGTTAATTTAGTTCCAGAATCATGTGGAATTAGATTTGGGGGTTTGTGTATTATTATGAGGTGTGAAAGTGGAGTTGAAGTTGTTTGTGATAGTAGTTTTAAGGAGAACTTCTTTATATGATTAGTAATATGTAATAGGGGAGGTAATATTTCGTTTATGATAGGTTAATCCTCTATTTTCATATAATTTATTTAGTTGTTTGTATTATGTTGCTTGTCTTGCTTTGCTATGATATCTTGATGCCTGATATTCTTGTTTGAAATACATATTACAGACTGTTATTGAGCGTAATTCACAATTTAGATTTGATTAATGTAGACTAACAGTTGATAATATTGTTGCTGCCATATCAGTTTCTGATTCGAAGGTGACCCATGCATATCTTTGTCATTGATACTTGACTGGTGAGTGTGGGATATAGCAGATTTTGGCTTTGATAGATTTGAGAAATTCAGATAGTTTGAAGGCAGTGCATCTGTAAGATAAGTTAGTAATTTAACTTTATATCAATCTCGTGTGATGATTACTTCATTTTGGTTATGTGAAGGTAAGATTTGTATACTATCTTGTCCAAGTAGAATTGACCAATTTGTGAGTGCTTTATCAGTTACTTCTTTATTTTCAAAGCAAATTGTAGTGTATTGCTATTGACCAGTTATTTTTGATTTAATATTTTGAATTGTGCCAAATTGGGAGAAAGTATTGCGCAAGAGTATTTCTGAAGTATTGAGAAGAACATCACATAGTGTAATTATTTTATTAATATTATTATTATTGCTATTTGCTGGTTTTTCTAATGAGAGATGATG